TGGAGGCCGTTTGGGGCGTCCTGGGGGCCTCTTGGCGGCCCCAGGGGTTTTTAGGAGCGTCTTGGGTGCTTTGGGGGGGCCTCTTCGGGCCTCTTGGGAGCCTCTTGGGGGCCGTTTGGGGCGTCTTGGGGGCCTCTTGGCGGCCCCAGGGGCTTCCAGGAGCGTCTTGGGTGCCTCGGGGGACCCTCTTGGGGCCTCTTGGGGGCCTCTTGGGGGCATCTTGGGGGCCTCTTGGAGGCCTCTTGGGGGCCTCCTGGGGGCCTCTTGGGGCCATCTTGGGGCCTCTTGGTGCCTCCTGGGCGCTTCTTGGGGCCATCGTGGAGGAAATCGATCAAAGAAGTGGGGAGCTTTAATGAGCGCTGCCCCCTTCAGAAGGGCAAAATGAGCCCAAAACCTTTGTAAAATCAATAATTTTACCTGGAAAGAAGAGGGGAGCTTTAATGAGCGCTGCCCCCTTCAGAAGGCGAAAATGGGGCCAAAACCGTAGTAAAATCAATGATTTTGGCTTCAAAGAAGAGGAGAGGGTTTTTTCTCCCTCCCCCCGTCGGGGCCAGAATCCTCGTGAGGGGTGTCGTTTTTTAGCCCTCCCAGGAGTCGAAAATGACCCCCCCAACGACCCGCAGAGGGACCTCTCCAGGCCCAGGCGGGGGGGGTAGGGGGAGGGGTAAACCCCTCCCCGAGGGGGAAGAAGGGGGGTTGAGAACAGAGCGGGCTCTCTAAACCACTCACGCCCAAAGGGCGAATCCCTAAGATTGTCATCGCCTTTTGGCGTGTCAATCTTAGGGATAGGGACACGTTCGAGGCTGGTAACTAGAGGCCAGCCTCGGGCCCAGGGCCGTCACACAGAGCCCGTCCGCGACAACGAGCATGACCGCAAGGAAGGGGTCCAGACCTCTTGGGTCGGAAACCTCCCGCTCTGCTCTCGGGACCCCCTCTTGTCCTCGCCCCTCCAGGGTTCAGTCGGGCGGGTCCCCCTACAGGAGACATGCTCAAACATCGTATGTGGGCGATGTTTCGACTATATGTGGATCGCTTCGACTACGTTTGAAGAATATGTTTTCTTTTTCGTCCCAACTCCGACTGTAGGGGGACATGCGCGACCTAATTCATGGGCCGGAAACCTCCCGCTCTGCTCTCGGGACCCCCTCCCGTCTCCGCCCCTCTGGTGCCCCGCCCCTTCCCGCTCCCTGGGCCCGCCCGTCCCCGCGCGCAGAGCGCCCACCCCAACGCTTCTCAGCCACGCGCAGAAGGGGGGGGAGGGGGGAGGGCTTCTCAGAAGCACTCCTGCTTCTTAGAAGGCGCGGGCCTTCTCTATAGATGTACAGTGCCGTTTTTAACACATGCTCCGCGTGCGGATCACGTATTAAAAATGCTGGGTTTTAGTAATAAAAACAACGATGAGTTCATGCATAAATTCATTCGTACATTGATCATGTATTAAATACATGTTTCAAAATCTCTGTATTTAAAAACTGCCCTGTAAGGCCGGCGCCTCATAAGAAGCCCTCCCCCCTCCCTCCACCCCTTTGTGGGCGCCGCCACGCTTCCACGGCCACACCTCCCGCCCCAAAAATCCTCGCCCCCCACCCGCGCCAGAGTCCCGCTCCCCGCCCGAGGCCCCCAAAAATTCTTATGCCCCGCTCAGGCGCCCCCTGCCTCCGCCCAGAGGGGGTCTTGGCCTCACCGAGCGCGTTCAACTCCTCGCAAAGTGCCTACTCGCAAAAATCAGAAAAATCGCATGTCTGCTCCGATGTAAATGTATCGTAAATCCCCCGCGGCAGATCCAGGCTATTTGCGAGTAGTTTCGTTGCGAGTAGTGGGACGCTCTTGTCTATTCCCTTTGCATCGTCGACATACAAAAAGCGGCACAAACATAAACTTTGGACGATCCGCGCGGATTTCTTGGATCAGCACATGGGCCCCCCTGGCGGTGCCCCTGGCGCCGCCCCTGGCGCCCTGGCGCGCGGAGCGCGCCAGGGAGGGAGGTCCGGCGCAGATCCAAGAAATCCGCGCGGACCGTCAAGTTTATGTTTATGCCGCTTTTTTGTTCCTCCGCATCGCTCTGCGGCAAGGTGCGCGCGGGGGGCCTCGCAAGTCCTGGCGGGCTTTCCCTCGCCAGTGCGCAGGGCGTTGCGGCAGGGAGCCGCGGCCCGCCCCACCTCCAAGTCGTCGCCCGCGGCGTCGTGCCGCGGCATGCGTCTCCAACGCACCCTGCAAGATCTTATGGAAGTGAAGCTGCTTGCACAGGCTGTGCACTGGGGACTGGGGGGGGGGGCGGCGCCACTAGGGTCTGTGCAGGGCGGCCGTGCGAAAGGTCGCTTACCCCAGCGCTTCCAACATATCCACCCCATCTTGGTCCTCATCCTCGTCGCTTTCGTCGTGCCGCTTCCCACTGCGCTAAAAACCAGGAGACAGCTGTCTGAGGCAGTGGTTCCCTTCCTGCGCCGGCGTCCCGCGGCCGTCCCGTGAGCCTCGAGACCGTACCAGCTCACTGTCGTACCTTTTTCGCGCTGCCAGCGCCGCGCACCGCGCTCGCGCCATAGGGGCCCGCGGCGTTGAGATGGAGAGCTTCGCACTGCCTTTATTGAGGTTCGCAACGGTGGCCTAGCAACTCAAGTGGCCACTTATCGGAGACTGGAGCATATACACTACCAGCGGCGGGCTTCAGTTCCAGGACTTTTCGAGGGTCTTGGACGAAGTCGGTGTGGTGTGGTGTATATTCCCCAATCAGAGCTTGCCTCTGTAGGGGTCCTAGCGGATTCATATGGTTAGGTGAGGTGGGGCGCCGATTTGGTGGCCGGTGGCCGGGTGCCCGCGTGCCCAGGTGTGTGTGCCCTGTGCCCCAGGATTTCGGTTGCCGGTGCCCGGGTGCCCGGGTGCCCTTGGGTGCCCCGGTGCCCGGGTGCCCGGAAGTGCCCGGGTACCCTATAGCCATATAGCCTCATAGCTCTATAGCCCAATAGCCAAATAGCCCAATAGCCCAATAGTCCATATAGCCCATGTAGCTTTACAGCCCAATTGCCCTATAGCTCGATAGTCCTATAGCCCTACGGGCCTATGGCCCTATAGCCCTAGAGCTATAGAACCCTATAGCCCTATAGCCCTATAGCTCTATAGCCCTATAGCCATATAGCCCTATAGCCCTATAGTCCTATAGCCCCTATAGCCCTATAGCCCTATAGCCCAATAGCACTAAACCCCTATAGCCAAATAGCCCATATAGCCCTATAGCCCCATAGCCCTATAGCCCCATAGTCCTGTAGCCCCATAGCCCCAACAAAAACCTGTTTGGGTTTTTCCTCTGGTATCATTTGTTCTTCGCTTTCCCAGGGAATAAACCAGAAATGTATACAGCAGGATCCCGCATACACCAGGATCCGCTTTCCTGTGCGAATTTCAATGCGGGGCCGGAAACGAGTCGGTGTATGGAGTTCGGTTCTTTCTCTTCACGCGCACCGATCGGACTCCCAGACCGCGCACCGATCTTGCACGTGCGCCGTACTGCGCGCTCTGCAGTTGCATGGATTGCTCGGTCCTGTCTGGATGGAGAAGTCGCCGCGCTGGCATGGAAAGCCAGGTGAGGCCCCAACGTGCATCGGATTCGAAATTAACAGTAGGTCGGGCATGCCCCCCTACGCAGGGATTTTGGACGAAAGATCGAGGATACTCAAAACATATTCCACAAAATTGTCAACAAATCGTCCCCATCTTATTTTTTGACTATTTTTGCGTGTTCCTCCTGTAGAGGGACGGGCCCAATTCGAAGGTAACACGCGCCACTCGCTGGCTGTGTTGTCGAGCGCCGGGCCAGCCTGCCGAGCTCGGCCGACGGCGGCGAGCCCCGCCGCCGTGCTGGCCCGGCATTCTGGGCGGCGGCTGCCCGAGGGGGCAGGGGAGGCCGTCGCATGTGACACTTTGTGTCCCCGAGTTCGGGGGCCGTGATGGGGACGATGGTGAGGGTGGTGGTGGTGGTGGTGGTGGTGGTGGTGGTGGTGGTGGTGGTGGTGGTGGTGGTGGTGATGCTGATGCTGATGCTGATGATGATGATGATGATGATGATGATGATGATGATGATGATGATGATGATGATGATGATGGTGATGGTGATGGTGATGGTGGCGGTGAGGATGAGGAGGAGGAGGAGGAGGAGGAGGAGGATGGTGATGGTGATGGTGATGGTGATGGTGGTGGTGATGGAGATGGCGATGGCGATGGTGATGATGGTGATGGTGATGGTGATGATGGTGATGATGGTGATGGTCATGGCGATGGGGATGATGCTGAACATCTCAGGCGGCAGGAGCAAAGCAAGCCAGCATGGGAGTAGAAGGATGAACCCCGAACCCCAAAATCCCAGAACACTTCCACGCCAGCCAGTCCCATCTCACGTGCGGCGCAGGTCCAAAGCCCAGGCGGGCTCCAGCACCTTGGCCGACCCGTGCCTACAAGACGGGTGCTGGCATGCACCAACACGCTTCCACGCGGCAGGACGATGACGAGGAGGAGGAGGAGGAGGAGGAGGAGCCGGAGGAAGAGGAAGAGGGAGACTGTCACATGTGATACCTTTCGTCCTCACCTCTTGCGGAGCTCTCACTGAGCTCAGTTAGGCCGTGGGGCTTTCTTGTGGTCCGAACCTAGGCATTCGCTCCTCGATCCTCCGTCCATCTCCAGTTGGCGCGCCGACCCTTCAGGGGATGCGCTCCCCCTCCCTCCCAAAATTGCCGGCGCGCTCGCGAGGAGGTGAGGAGGAGGAGGGGAGGCAGGAGCAGGCGAGGAGGCAGAAGAGAGGGCAAACGGAAATGCGGAAGGAGGAAGGAAGATGAGGAGGGGCAGGAAGAGGAGGAGGAAGTGGAGGAGGAGGAGGAGGAGGAGGATGGAGGACGGAAGGGGGGGACTGGAGGAAGGCCGGGAAGGAGAAGTGAGGGGGTCAAGGAGGGGTGGAAGACGAAGGGGAGGAAGGGGGAGGAGAAGGAGGAGCAGGAGGAATGCGTGCGGCTGAG